TAACACTATATTATCAGCGTGAGTTACTAGGACGCTGAGGATACCATCGCTGGCATCTTACCCGCCGCAACACTACGTACCCAATTCACTGCCGCAGCACACTGGCAAGAGATGGCACGTGGCTGGTCGGCCTGCTATTGATTTCGCCATTATTGACAGACCCGATGTTTTATTGATCTTTATTTCAAATGTTGGCCCTTTGAATCGTTCTGACACAATTACAGTCATCCCACTCCGGCTCAGTGACTTGTGTTCTTCACAAACCAGGGGTATACAGCTATATCAGATACATTACCTAGCATTTCCTCGTTTATGGTTACTTTCCACTTTCTTCGTTCAAGTTCACCAAGTTATGTTGGAAAAACGATCAGACGATTACCAAGAGGAATTAAGGAGCGTAAAATCCATCCCGGTTTAGTGCGAGCATAAGGAAAACGATTAAAATGCAGTGATTGAACACCTTGCAGGCATGGAACATAAAGTAAACGAGGACGCTAAGAAACCCACTCAACGCTGTTCGTCAGTGGTCGTTCGCCGATCGAAACGATTGTGACCTTGGGTAAGACCCGGGGACGCCGACCGAGAATGAAACAGCTTACTCAATCCATTGACTGCGAACATTTCCAAACCACACAACAACAACAACAAAAACTGCCGCTTCGTTTAGAAATAACATATCTCAACGTCACAATCGACCAATCATATTCATCACTCGTTGAGCATGAATTCGTTTAAGATAAATGTACCAGTTGCGCATGCACTTACGCGTGTCATGACTAGACGATTGAAAAACACTTCCTTTGGTAAACTCTCCATCAGTCGATCAAAGCTGACCGAGGTTTGAGTCCGTCTCAAACGTCCCTGATTCGATTTGCTTCGATTACGCTTCCGACGTTTGACACTGGTGCGACTGAACAAACTCGCGCGTCCCGAAGTGATGTCCATTCGCGAATCCGGACCGTCCATATCGCGCTCGAGCAATGGACGTCGGACAAACGCATCCCCAGCCCCCGTGGTTACATCTACCCGGGCCACCGAGGGTGATCGACGGGCTGAGCGGGATCGACACGTCCACGTGGATACGCGCGGAGAATCGTTACTGGTAGTGTGGGATACTACTACCTGATCTGGGTCCCGTGGGCATTTGCACTTGGCCGTATGGCCGCAACAACCATGTGGGCACACTGGACCCGGGGATTTGCGTGTGCGTCCCCTGCGCATGGAATTAAGCTGTGGTGAGTTGTGCAAAGTACCATTGCTTGTGATCCCATTCGAACTACCGGTCCATTCCAGGTGGTACCACAACGCAGGATCGGGGAAACCGGTCGGTTTGAGGGCATGCGCTGAGGGTAGTCTATGTGGGCGTGTGTTTAAATTTGGTTCGTCCTCGGAACACAGTGATCGTGGGTTGGCATATTCGTCCAGATTTGACGTGGCCGGACTAATTTCGGACTGACCGAGGCGACNGCGACCGTTGGCCGATAATGTCTCACTACCGAGAACAGTAGATTCGGCCAATAGCGGACTGGTCATGTGAGTGCTCACACTGCCCACGGTTGTTTGCGGTTGTGATTTCCGACTGCGAAACGTGCTCACACCACGTGTTGAGACTGAAAGAAATGCGATAGGTGGGCCGAGTGTGTGAACAAAATCAGCACATGCCAAGGACAAATGGTGATGCGAGGGGGCGAGGGGGGGAGGAAGCGGGGTTAAATGGATTAGACCAAAAACAATCACTCAATACTAATCCAGCGATTTATTGCTTGTGAAATCCAGAGACCCAGTGTTCGAATAGTAAAATCACTGTTCGGACCGAAACGCAAAGAACGTCTTACACATGTAAACAGTCTGTTTTTGTTCGGCCCTAATTCATGATGCACCTTTCTCCCGCTAACTATTGTTTTCACGTCCGAGAGCCAGAGATTGCATCTGAATCCATCTTGTAATTCAGCCACCTGCACGCGACTGACTATAAACCATCGATGTAGTGCCACTTTTGTTCCCGGTCTTGACTACCCGCGGTACGTTGGAAGTTAGATGCATATCTGAGGAGCCATCTGGGGGAGGGAGGGGGGAGCGTGAGTTGCGAGTTGCTATTTCCGGGAGGCCTCGCCGATGATCGAATTTGCCGGGCCAAAGCAGGTGGATTTTCTTAAGAAACTAATAACTGCAATCTTCGGCTAGCCAAAGCCCGACCTGCAAGACAGCGGGGCGGTGTAATGAAAACCGCAATCCACTGGGAGCCGGTGTCCATTTTATCGGATCATCCAACGATTGGACGGGGTCAAACGTCCAAAGTGCCCTATACACCTTGATACCCGATTGCGCCGGTGATCACTACCACAACCAGAAAGATGTGCGTTTGTGGTTCGTACGCCTCTCCTTGATTGATCTGGAATGAGGGTTTCTAACCAACTCCTCTAGGTAAATCTCCAGTTGTTAACCGACCCGGATGTAAGGGCTTCGCGTCCCCTCAGTTTAGTGGGAATAAAATTTAAAGACTGCTTTGAAGAGGAGAGGCAGTATAAATGGACAGTCGACAGCGAACAGAACTCGATGAGCAAATGCTCTTATACCACCAAAGTTTATCCGAGGGGGTTCTGTCAAAGAGTGCAAAATTAAAATCTACTACGGTCTCTTGATACAGACAGACTCAGATTTAAATGCAAAGTTTCAGCTGATCAAACTTACCTGGGGTGCTAGGTACCGGTTTTGCACGATCGTGCTCACAAATCACCAGCGCAACAAGGTCGTTATCAATTAGCTGAAAAAGAGATAGGGATTTAGAGAAGAAAAAGCAAGGCCATCATCAGGTGAATTTGTATCAAGTTTTATCTCCATGCTGCACCGGTGCATTATGAAAGAGGTTAATAATACGCTCATTGACTTACACCGTAGTCGTGGATACAATTCAATCGATAAGGCGGCTTCGTATTCGCATGATTGTTCGCGTCTGATCGAATACCAATTTCCCAGTCACACATTATCTCTCCCTGACTTGCGGACGGATCTACAGGACAGACGATGTGATAGAAGGTGGAGGAAAGAAAAACGGTTATGTTACGGGTTTATTTTAATAATTCGAGTAAGAATATATATATATATATATATATTCGATTAATTGTAGCCAAAAAGGAACTACGTATGATGTAGTTTTCGTTTGTTCGTTTTGGATAGGACACCGTCAATCTGATTGGTAATTAAGACTACAACAGTGAAGCGCACCCAGCAGAACACGTCTGATAGAACTGATACAATGTTATACTCTTTAGGCTGTGGGGGAGGGCGGCTTTTTCCGTATCGATCAAATTTGTGGGCTATCCAAAAGTGCTAACTCATAGGGAAGGACTCTCAGAAAATGGCACAAAATATATGCGAAACCACAAACACAGACACGTCAGGGTGCCAGCCAGTCAGCATCCGTCAGATTTCCGGATGGTTCCTTTGTGAAAGATTCACTACATCTCCATCGTGTGTGATTAACAGCAGTCGCGGTAGACCCCATAGCCACGAGGACCTGCTGTTCAGTAATGGAAACCGATAATCTAAACCCCCGGGACTTGGAGTTTTCGAACCACAAAAGGCCCCGACAGGTTAGGCGTGGTATTGAAGTGGACGACAGCAAGGCAGCCTACTGCCAAAGTGCAAAATTTTGTAGTACATTGTTGACCAGAACTTTTATGTTGAAACCGTACGGATCGTCTGGATGCAGGATTCCCAAATAACTGTCCTCTGATAATGTATCCCGTCCAGATGGGGATTCCACCGGTAGTGACATAAACTACGCTTGGAATAGTGTAGGAATTCATTCATTGTACCGAATGCATACTTATGTATAGGAAAGTACAGACACCTGATGATTGGTTGACTGAAACATTGACAGTTGACATCATTGGTTGTAGATCTTAAGCAGTCAATTAATTTGGGCTATTATTTATCGGACTGTTTATCTCAGAACCAAATAGTCTGCGGAAAGTACGGAGACACTGTGACCCTCTCCGCATTCAGCAATCTGTAGAAAGCTATCATTTTCACAAACCAAACTCTCTGCATCTTCCAGACACATCAGTTAAGTTTAGTTCTTACAGCCATTTACCATGCACTTTTATGCGCCGATTTTGGTTGCTGTCTTTTGGATGCCCATTTGGATAAAAGACCAGAATGATGATTAGAATGTTGACAGCAGATTCAAACGGAATATAGCGCATTTACATAGACTGAAGTTACAAGAGTAATGAGTAGATGCATGAGCACCACTGGTTGCGACACCCAGCCATATCGCTCAGTGTCTCTAACCATCGGTGACCATGATCTCGGGGTCCCCAGGCAGAGAGCCTAACGGGAATTATATAACCAGTCTCCTGGTTAGGATTTTCATACCCTCATACCAGGCCTTATTTTGACCGCCCTTGACCCTTTTTCAACCGCTACCTGTCTCGGCAAACATCGCTCGCCGTGGCAACCTATCTGGTGACACGCGTGAAACATATCCTAACCAGTGTGATCTATGGAGGTCGACCACTTGCTTCAGTGGACGACCNCAGTGTCTCTAACCATCGGTGACCATGATCTCGGGGTCCCCAGGCAGAGAGCCTAACGGGAATTATATAACCAGTCTCCTGGTTAGGATTTTCATACCCTCATACCAGGCCTTATTTTGACCGCCCTTGACCCTTTTTCAACCGCTACCTGTCTCGGCAAACATCGCTCGCCGTGGCAACCTATCTGGTGACACGCGTGAAACATATCCTAACCAGTGTGATCTATGGAGGTCGACCACTTGCTTCAGTGGACGACCGCGATTACCTAACTCTGCACCTAACCTCAGCACTGCTCATGCAGTTACCTCACCAGACTCGTGCAATGCCACGTAGACAGTAGTGTTCGAACACCGACAATCTATTTTTATCCTGTTCCCGTAATGGCCAAGTCTCTGCACCGTAGAGCAGCACTATCCGAACTGCTGCAGCATATACTCGACCCTTCACAGACAGCCGGATATCGCGACGGCGCCACAAATGACGCAAGTTGGCAAATGCCAACCGAGATTTCTGTATACGCGCCGACACTTCTGTCTGTACTTGAACATCATTTGTTTGACTATGCCTTCATTCGAAGGCTGAAATTTACCATTGTGTTTGACAGGCAAAAACACTCGCCTAATGATGCTTAGTTTTATGCCCGTAGTGGGCCGATCAATCAATAATTGACTTGCAATTCCTTGTACTCAAATATGACTTGGATCCTGGTCTCTCCACCCACACACACCCTCATCCTCATCACATCCTCATCACGAATCTCAATCCGAGCGCAAAGCCATAGAAATACACACGCATACACACGACACGTGTAAAATTGCTGTTGAACAAATCGTTCCAATCACCTTCCGCGAAAAACGCTCACTGCCGGACATGTTCGCAAATGTTTACCCAGTGTGTAGAATTTGATACTTGTCACATTCTGACGGCGTTGCAGATGACTGCTTAACAATTAGAGTAAATACATTCAGGAACTATTGCACTAAACAAGGTAAAGCTCTATTAAGAACAACTTTGTAACAGAGATTACGGACCAAGAAAGCGTATCATCGCATGATCATTGATGAGCAACGGCAGAAGAGGAACTTACCGGGTACGCTTGTAGAAATGGCTGGTTTGGGTAATTTTCCTGTAAAGAAAAGTAAAAAAAAGGATACGTTAAGAAAAAAACGAGTTCGAATCCTCGGTGCATGCTTGTGTAGAACACTTTTGTGCATCCTAAGAAAGAATTGTGATGATAAGAACACTTAGTGATCTCACGTAAAGGTCATTTAGAGATGGGGGGGGGAAGAACAGCCCGACTGCCGAACACAATAACCTACTCCATCGGTGTGCGATACTTACCAAGCCAAGCAAAGTGCGGAAGACAGTCGATGGTCGCCAGACAAATAGATGAGGGCATGAGGATATGCAAACCTTGACCACGGAACTTGAACACAAAGGTTGTGTTAGGCTTCAAGGTCGGGAAACCCGTGACTAGCTTAATCGATAGTTGGAGGTAAATGGTGATACACTTGAATATGGCAAACGCTAACAGTAGTGCCACTAATCACTTTCTACGCCCTTGTAATTTGCCTGTATTTGTGTCTGTCTTAAAAATACTCTCAGTTGTTTTACCTCTTCCATTTACCCCAGTCGCATTGGTTGACCTCGTGGATAGCCGAGGGAACAGCAACTAAGACATGCAAACAAAATTGTCAACTTTCTTTTCCCATTTTACTTCCTTTTTATTGAACACACAGGGATACAATTTTCAGGAAGGGGGAAGCGACCAATCAAAGGGCTGCCATGGGGGAAGTCAGGTAGTGGTGGTGGGGTTCGAGCACACGTCCCCCGAGGTGGTAATTTGGTGACGTTCCCACCGGGCCACCTAACGGTTCCATAAACCGAAATCTGCGATGGACTACTGAGTGAAAAACTGCAGTAGTTAGTATAAAGGGATTGTAAAACTGAAATGAACTTCTCGGGCATACCCTTCAGAGCGAGGCAGCGCCAGAGTTTAGAGTGGTTGACTAAGTCGAAACCCGCTTTCAGATCGAGGAAGACAGAGATCGTGGGTCTACGAAAGGAGCGTCTGTGTTCTAGAATTTGACGAGGAATGAAGATGTGATCGATACAACCTCGACCAGGTGAAAACGGGGCCTTCGAAATTGGCTGCGCGGTTCGTTACATCGTCGGACTCGGAACTATACAATCACTCTTCACTGGATTTATCTGGGATACACGTCCTTGGTTGCGATAGAAACGTTGTGTGATTATGGTCATCCTAAATTCTGTGAAATACTGTGCCATTTTCATGAAGCAACTTCGAACTTCTGGACACTGGATTTTACCTTCTTTTGGCAAATCGGTTTGTAACAGGGAGAGAAGAATTGACGGAAATCTCAAAACATTTCCCAGAAAACACAGAGCTGGATGGCAGGTCGCACTACGCAAAACGATCAGGTTCAGATATCTGTATTCCAGCAGTCATCAGTGGAAATGTGCGCTCCCTGCTTGGCAACATGGCAGAAGTAATAGATCTGACAAAGAGACGTGAATATTCAAAGGTTGGAGTCATAATGCTTCAGGAAACCTGGCTCCACAACGAAATTGGTGATAACGTGGTCAAAATTGACAATTTCTCCATCTGCCCAGTTGACCGACCCGTTCCGGTTCGCAAACGATGCGGTGGTGTTATTACATACATAAATGACAATTGATGCAAATCAGGCAAACGAGTCTTTCTGTATTCTACCATTTCATCAGTACTTCACTGTACAAATGCAAACCTAAACACCTCAGTAACTACCGAAACATTATTTTTGGTAACATTTACATTTCTCCTTCTTGTTCCACCGATCATTTTACCGAGTTCACAGATATTTTCTCCGCCGCTTAACTAAATTACTTAGA